TGAAGGCTAATAGTCATAGGAGTTTATGTACCAGGTACCCATTCACTGCTGGGTGAACAGAGTCAATTTTGAACAAACTCACTTGCCTAAGGTGAGACCAGATGTGCCACATGTGTTTCGTTGTGGGGCAGGATTGATGCCCTGGAAAATTTTAGGAGTCACCCATCCAATGACTCTCCGTAGCCAATGAACTTCAGAACCGAATTATCTCAGGTAAACAATTGACTAGACTTTGCTTATGTTTATGACGGGTGCCACCGATGGGGCAGGATACGCTGACCTTTTCGGGAACATCTGGTATCATCACTATTCCATAGTGATTCATATCTATATATATCGTCACGTTATAAATATACTGAGTCAAAAAAGAAACTTCACATTCTTTCTTCAGGGCACTATAAAAGAACAAGAGATGGTAAGATGGTTAAATTGTTATTATTTCATTGCTGAGATCTGTGTGACGACTCGATACACTGACAGTGCCATAATCAGTTCCATTAGGCTACACCGCCGTTCCAAAACATGGGTATACAGAATGTCAAGTCACAAGAATAAAAATGCGAGCTTTCTCAGTTCAATATCGTGTATGGCCGCCCCGCGCATTCACCACTACCAAACACCGTCTCCTCATCGACTGCCTGATGCTTGTGAACACGTGGTTGGGGATTCTGCGCCATTGCTCTTGCAAGGCAGCGCCAAGTTCCTGCAAATTCTGAGGTTGGTTCCTAAGACCACGAAGCCTTCTCCCAAGTGCATCCCAAACGTGCTCTATTGGATTAAGGTCAGGGGACCTCGATGGCCAGTCCATGACGTTGATTCCAGCGTTTTGAAGGAAATTTCGTGTCAACATCGCGGTATGCGGCCGAGCATTATCATGCTGGAACTGTAGACCTGGGCCATGAGCCGCCATGAAAGGAACGAGTTCAGGGGTGAGCACCTGGTCGCGGTAAGCAGCAGCTGTGAGGTTTCCACGGATGACCAGAAGTCGGGAACGGTTGTTCCCACAGAAAGTACCCACACCATGCAACTTCCGCCCCGAATCTGTCGACTTCCTGTACACAACATTGGGCATACCGTTCACGACGTCGTCTCCAGACTCTATGCCTGCCGTCCGCGAATCTGAGGGTAAACCTGGATTCATCGCTAAAGACGACTCGATTCCAGTCTCTCTGGGTCCATCGGAGGTGACGTTGGGCCCACAGCAGACGTTGACGTTGATGAAACGGCGTCAATATTATTACGATATGGACGTCGAGAATGGAGATTGGCAGCCCGCAACCGATTTCGAATGGTCTGTGAGGACAGTCGACCTCTAAACATCTCAGCCCTGGTTCGTGTAGCCGGCGAAATCTGTCACGTAGGTGACGTAGGACGATTTGACGGTCTTCTGCTCGTGACGTCACGTGGACGACCCGACCTTGGGCGATCAGAAGTGGTGCCAGTTTGTTGTAGACGACCTCGCAAGTCATACACAGTACGACGGCTGCATCCCATTGCTCTTGCGACGTCAATAACTGATCTTACCGCTTGCAACATGCCAACGGCACGTTCACGTTGCACATTTGACAATCGTGGCATTTCAAAGTACCGTTAGAACTGTGGTTTAAAAGTGTTTTCAATTCTTGAGGCCAATGCAAACACGTGCATATGAAGAAAACTTCGATGCGAAGATCACGTGATCGACTGCACGTGCAAAACCTGATTTGGCACTAACGTCATTTGCACGACGAATGGATGGGTTTGAGTGGGTTTTGCTAACGTTTTTCTAGAGTCGATAAAGATAGGGATCAAATTACCATTTCGGATACATAGATGTATCATCAGAGAAAAATTATTCATTATTTTTCAAATTACAGTTTTTGTGAAGTTTCTTTTCCACGGCTTGACCCCATAATTATATTACCTCCCTTTACTTGCTCCGCATTCTCACAGTAGCCAATCGGTTGAGCCGCCGTTACATCCGAGTTTGCCAGTGTCAACAAAGATAGCGGTCGCAGTCGTGAAGGTTTGTTCGCAGTGCCACTCAGAATTTTGGTGAAATAATACAGACACATTGACAGATCTGAAACTGACAAAATATATGAAACAACTCCTTCTACCTCTTTCAGAGTACCTCTGCATCAATTGTGCTGCTAAGTTTAAACGGTTAGATAATTTAAGAAGCGAAAGTGAGTTGTGATTGGTTCGCTCAACTTCCCAGCGTAGACACCTGATTGGATAAAAAGCCGGCCAAAGGAGGTAATATAATTATGGGGCCAAGCCGTGGATGCATCCAGGGTATAGTGGAGAGTGATCGTAACGTATACCCTGGAGAGTATCGAGGATGGGGTATAGCAAGCAAAGACATTGAAACACCAAGTCACACTCTCTGACGCCTTCTTTAATAATATATCTGGATCTTAACATTTGTGCCTCTAATGAGTGTGAGAGAGGTTTTACGCCGCTTTTAGCAATATTCCAGCAATATCACGGCGGTGGACACCAGAAATGGGCTTTCCACATTGTAGCCATGTGGGGAATCCAACCCGGATTTTCGACGTGATGAGCGAACGCTTTACCACTAGGCTACCCCACCGCCCTTCATTCCAAAGCTTTTCCCCATTTCTGGTGTCCCCCGCCTATTGCTGGAATATTGCTAAAAGCGGCGTAACACCATATTCAGTCAGTCAGTCAGTCCAAAGCTTTTCAGTTAATCCAAAGGATAAAAAACCCCAAACAAACTTAACAAATAAACAATAAAACACACAAAATTGTGCCTTTATTCGACATAAAGCCCCAAATACAGAGTTAATATTTACGCGCATATATTTACAACATGAAAAACCAGGCAAACAAACCAACCAAACCAAACCAAACGAAATGTTTCCCATTCAACTATTCTAAGAAATCCATTCCGCTCATGGGCATTATGGAATTAAAGTTAATGTCCTTGTTTGGGATGGCCCCTGGTCCAAGGAGACAATGTGTTTGGGATGGCCCCTTTGTACAAGGACCCAATGTGTTTGGGATGGCCCCTGGTCCAAGGAGACAATGTGTTTGGGATGGCCCCTGGTCCAAGGAGACAATGTGTTTGGGATGGCCCCTTTGTACAAGGAGACAATGTGTTTGGGATGGCCCCTGGTCCAAGGAGACAATGTGTTTGGGATGGCCCCTGGTCCAAGGAGACAATGTGTTGGGGATGGCCCCTGGTCCAAGGAGACAATGTGTTTGGGATGGCCCCTGGTCCAAGGAGACAATGTGTTTGGGATGGCCCCAAGGCGACAATGTGTTTGGGATGGCCCAAGGAGACAATGTGTTTGGGATGGCCCTGGTCCAAGGAGACAATGATGGCCCTGGTCCAAGGAGACAATGTGTTTGGGATGGCCCCTGGTCCAAGGAGACAATGCGTTTGGGATGGCCCCTGGTCCAAGGAGACAATGTGTTGGGGATGGTCCATGGTCCAAGGCGACAATGTGCAGAGTAGGCATGATCACGTTTCAGAGATATCAGCCTGGTCCCTGCTCAAGTCGTAAACGTCTCCTCCACTTCCACTTACTGCTGCCGGGGAGGTAGGGTAGCCTAGTGGTTAAGGCGTTCGCCCGCCACGCCGAAGGTCTGGGTTCGATTCCACACATGGTTACAATACGTGAAGGCCATTTCTGGTGTCCCCCGCCGTGATACTGCTGGAATATTGCTAAGCGGCGTAAAACCAGACTCACTCACTCGTTCATGGAATAATTATTTTATGCTGTTTCATATGACTAATACGCCTGCATATATCCTGTTTGAATTTAGGTTTTAAACGTTCCTAAACCTTTAGTTAGTACTTTAAATCAGACCTTAACATCATTGTAGCGTATGTATCATAACTCATTACACGACACGACATGCTTATGAACGACACTATTTACAAACATAAAGTAGGCAAGTGGACCAAGGCTGACTTCTGCCGATGTGGATGATGATCCCCTGCTGGAGCTCGAGTGCCAGAGTTGCCAAGCGACTTTCTCTTGACGTTCTCATTTATCTGGCTACCGGGTCACTTCACGCGTATCCAGGTACTCGTAAAGTTATTTATTTTGTGTTCTGTCAACAGCAAGAAAGTTTCAAAACATCTTTTATCTTCACAGAGAGCAACAGAAACATTAAGCCACATGTTTCGTTTCTGAAGAGTGAGTGAGTGAGTTTTACGAACGTGTCAGCAATATCAGCGATAGACACCAGAAATGGTCACAAAGAAGAACCGTGAAACACCATGCTCATTATTTCAAGATTAGTGCGTAACTTAAACTTTGAACCATGTGCGTAAGTAGGATAAATGGTACTTCTTAGGATTCCTGGAGACTATTTCAAGACAGATGATGTCCAATCGCACAATGGTTACAATGGCTGTTGACACAAATTTCTAATGGTAATTGAAGGGGTTCACAACGAATCTGAAAGTGACTGAAAAAACTCACTTATGTCATGAAATACATTAAAACACATTGAGTAAGAAATCTCAAACATTTGTGCACAAATTTAAAACGCCAACGCCAAAGAATTTTCGATTATCAGCCGAAACAATTCCATTGGGCATTAAAGACACAACAGTTGTGAATAGGTCACTGGAAATCAGTGATGTCCAAACGGTAATTCATCACTTGCTTGATAACGGTGTTAGTACCTTCACCGAAAGGTCGCACTCATTGCAATAAAGAAGTTGACTATCCATAGAACGTGGTTTTCCTTCATCTATACAACTTCTAAAATGCCTCTCAAAGAAGGTAATTCACAAGTAATATATATCTTATTGGTTAGGCGGCATAGTAGCATTCCTGAACTGAATATTTGGAAACTCACAGTTAACCTGAATGGATTTCTTATAAGGAACATGTCATCGCAAATTTTACGTTGCTTCTCTGAACAGGTAGCGCACACACAGCTAGCTAGCTGTTTGTGAACCAGATTGGTCTAAACGAAGTAGAACAAGGGGTGTTGATACTTCACTCATTTTCTTGTACTTTATCTGGCATATGGTGTTAATTTCTGTATTTAGATTCTTTTGTGCCATTTGAGATAATTTCTAGTGAAGTTGTATTTTTGCCCTCTTTGCGCTTCTGGTGCACTCGTGAATAAATCTCCACGCCTGCGTACATGACCATCGCCACGGCTAATAAAGCCAAGACACAGATAAGTTTTGTCTTCAAACACATAAAGTTGCTGACAACAAATGTGATCGTGAATCCTATGGCTTTCCAGGTGTGGAAGTTAGCGAAGGCTGGTTCCTTCTTCTCCGGGAACAGCAGGGCTATCAGAGCTGGAAATAGAAGCAAGGCGAGCATGAGTTTGGGTATAACATTAATTAAAACAGTTCTAAACATGCTTGTCGTAAGGGCGACGAACGAGATCGGGTGGTCAGGCTCGCTGACTTGGTTGACACATGTCAACGTATCCTAACTGCGTAGATCGATGCTCATGCTGTTGATATTGCTAAATGCGACGTTAAACAACAACACAGCCCCCCAAACCCCACCCAAAAAACAAAACAAAACAAAACAAAGAAAACAGAACGCCCCCCAAAAGCACAAAACAAAACAAAACAAAAACAATAACACCCCCCCCAAAAAATAAAATAAAAAAATAAAAAATAAATAAATAAAAACATTACACTATAAATATCAGTTGACACTATGATTTGATGTCATAGACACGTAGCATTCCAAACATTACGCCTTTCTGATGTGGGGCGGTGGGGTAGCCTAGTGGTTAAAGCATTCGCTCGTCACGCTGAAGATCCTGGTTCGATTCTACACATGGGTACAATGCGTGAAGCCCATTTCTGGTGTCTCCGCCCTGATATTACTGGAATGTTGCTAAAAGCGGCATAAAACTAAACCCACTCACTCACTCATTCATACTGACGTGATGCCATCGACAATAAATACAGTTTCTTTTTTGTGCTCAGGGCATTGCCAACCTTAGGCGTTCAGAAATAATGTGATCACTGATTGTAAACGGTTCTTACAGTTTGACTGTGTCTCCCATATTCCTTCCCCGATGGCCCATACGATGGGAATGACGAAGATGTACTTGGTGTCGTCGCTTGTCGGCGTCCATAAGTAGAGCGTTACAAACACCCCACCTTGTAACACAGCAGCTGCGAAGAACAGGATGTAACGTCCAATGTACTTCGCTATACGACTGAAGATGAAGGCACAGGAAGCAGTGGTTGCCCCGTACGTCGCCATGACGAAACCAACCATGTGTATTCCGATGGGACAGCTGACGTAGGACTGCAATAGAAAGTGTATTTATACATTGTTAAATCATACTGCCTATTAGATACATACAACGTGTAGCATACCCTTTCTCATGCCTACTGAATAAATACTGCCTACTGCAATAATACTGTCTGATGCTTACGTGTTGCCTATTATTTTGATTCTGCTGTTGCGAACGGACTTGTTGCATCCGTTCTGACTAAAGCATTCATTTCCGTTATTGTATAAATTTTGCCGACTGAATGCATTCTGCCTGTTGTATACATCTATGCAGGACCTTTGGCATGACAACCTAATGTCTGAATCCCTGTTTGCAAAACATTTTCTTAAACTTACATCATGTGTTAGTGAGTGTTAATACCTACTGAGATACAATGCTCCCTTTATCCGCCATAAGTCATTTTCTCCACGTAGAAGACACAGAGAATTAAACTTTTTTACAATTAAAGGATCTACAATTTATAAAATATCTTCCTCCATATATGACAAATCTCATTATGCCACAATTGTTAAAGCACCAATAACCTACCCTTGTGTAGTCTGACCATAATATGCCTTGCTCCACCGCTTGGAACATTATGAATGGAACAAGGAATATCAGCTTGCTGGTGAATAATGTTACAAAGAATGAACTCAGGGATTGCTTCAAGCTGACATTGCTGCTCCAGTCACTTTTTGGTAACGGTGGTAAGAAGACGATTGTGATGATCAAAGCAATAACACCACATGCAAGACAGACTCCAAGAAAAATGTACACCAGGCTCTTCTCTGGAGTAGCTATGTCCGTTCCGTTGGCTACTCCAGGACAATAGTCGGAACCACAAACAGCTTCTCCCGTGACATTGCTGTAGGTTCCTGATCGTAGGATAAGGGACGACACAAGGTTGCCTGGAATTTGGGTGGTCTCATAAATGGTGAAGAACAGTCCATTCAATTTACTGAGGACATCGTACGGTTCTGCTCCTGTAGACTTGGCAAGGGAGTAAGAACAGACTGAAATGTATATACTCTGACTCGTCCACAGAAAACCAGAGATGGCCCCGAGGAGAATTGAAGAAGGTATGAGGGTGTAAAATGCCGGATAGAAGTTCGAGCTTGTATACAGGAGGTGGATCACCCAAGACAAGATTAAAGTCATTTTGATTCCCATGAATCGAATTACAGCCGGGGCCATGATTCCAGAAAATATAATGCATGCATACAGAACGCTCAAAGAAATGATTCCAAGGTCTGCCGCTTCGTTGAGACTGCTCTGCAGGTTCTGAATGGCCACGTAAGCAGAAAATGCTGCAAAGAAAGCTGCTGAAAGCACAGCACTACTTCTGGTTTCCTTTCCTTCAAAGGCATATGTCTTCGGTTCCTCCTTTTTCTCCATTTCAAGTTTTGTCAATAAGCTGTATCAATGCCAGTTGGACGGTAATTCAATAGGACTGTTTAGGACTTAAAGGACTTCAATATCCAAAGGTTTTCAGCCCAGCATTACTTTCGAAGTTTCAAAACAAAACTGTAGTTTCTTAAGGAACAACCCCAACTGTTTGAATCGACTCAAAAGCCAGGTCTAAAAACACATATGGTGTCAGTGGGCGGGTCTTTAGTTTCGGAAGATTTCATTTTGTTCGCAGGGGGGTTGTAACGTTTAGAACTGGAAACCCGCCAGTATCATATCAACAAAAGCATAGGTATACATCATCGGAACCCCCATTGGAATGAACTGCTCTGCTGTTGGTGTAATTTATTACAAAGGGAAAGGTCAGACGTATGTTTATCAGTGTACTGGGAATTTGGGTGGTCACTGACGTTGCTAAGAATGACAATGACAAAGCAGAACGACGAACAAACTGTTCCTCTCAGCGTTGTGTTCACAATAACACAATGCGCTTATCTAAATCACTTTAAATACTATGTTCTCTATGTGATTACAGTGTTTTTGACCTCAATGATTGGACATATTGATATAGGCTCAAGGTATTTGTGTCGGCAGCTATTCGTCTCACTTGTGTAACCTTTCATCTTCTTGTTGACCAAGTTGACCAGATTCCATGTTGGGATTCCTCGTGAGACTTCGGTCCCCAGCAACATGTACTTCTCAACTGAGGCGACTACAAGCACAGGGTGGTTAGAAATGGTGAAGGGGGTCTTTGCGTCATCAACATATGCAATGACTAGTCCGTAGTTCACCCGAAAGAAATTGAGAACGTATGGCACAAACAGGATTTTGAATCAGATATCATTTTTGTCACTGATGCATCAAATTTTGAAATGTCGTCCCTTTGGATGCCATAAAATCCTTTGGAGGCTTTACTGAGGCCTTGAATGTTGTAACCTTGATCAAACAACTTCTGGGCAAGAGTAGTATGAGGCTCTTAGAAATCTAGGTAACAAGAATATGCTCGATTGTACTTCAAAATGTGTAAAATGTAAACATCGAAAGCTGGAGCTGCTGGAAATGGTTTTATCTCTAAAGTATACATAAATCCTATCAATAAGGAAGTCCAGCATTTCACATATTAGTCTCACAATAAACTTCAAATGCTTTCTTTTGACAAATTGTCCTGAACCTCTGAAGATAGATACGATAGATAAGTATATCTTTGTTCTCCAGATTTTCTTTACGTTTGTCATGTGTGCCATGTTGAGAAATCAAATGTTTTTGAAAGTATGTAAAAAGTCGAGCAAACTCAGATATTTGAGAATCAACATGGTAATAATTCCGATTGCCTCAAATAGTTTAAGTGAATATACAGAAAGCAATTCCTTGATAGTATTTAGGATTATGTTTCTTCTTTGTGACAGGGGTTAGGTGAAGTGGTACATTTGCTGGACCCTGCAATATATCTCTCTTAGCGTGGATTTGTGTGTAGCTATGGAATCCAGTACAAAAGACGAATGGACATGTCTTCAGGTTGTAGGCAAGCCACATGTTCATGTGACATTATTTGATATGTCACTTATTCCAAGATCAATCAATTTATGTAATGATGTTTACAAATCCTGGTTTTGTTATTTGTGAGCTTGTCAGCGGGAACAAACTATATACAAACTATACTAGATTATACTATCCAGACTTTGGACGACAGCTGGCTGGGACAGAATGGGTCAATTCCAATTCTGTTTCTTTGCATTTTACCAACGACGACATCACGCACTGAAATAACTCACTCTGAAAGACCTTCTACAGATTCTTCTTCTCCTTTGGCTTTCGACAACATAAAAACAAGGTGCCTGTTCCCGATTGTTTGGTCCATATTTGAATAGCTGACGAATGTTCTTGTCAACAATGGAGAACTCATCTGTGCTTATATGTCCTGGTTTGTAGCAAAACATTGAGTCTTGGAAACCACGTAAAGTTGAATTTACATCCTGATCTGCACAGTTAATCTTCTTTTACACGTTACTATAATTGAAGAACATGGACAAAAGTGTATTATTGTTATAGTAAAATGAATTGTTTTTGTATTTCCTGAGGTCTGAAATATTTTGGCACATTTTCGGAAACTAAATTTTGTCTCACAATGTTACTTGTTTGCAAAATAAAATTCAGGAACTTGCGACCTTTGTCTGAATGAAAGCAATATCAAACACTCAACACTCCATTCGACATTGTGGTATTTCTGCCTGTAGATCCGCCCAATAGCAAAGGTTGGTGGAATCGTTCTCTTTAAGCTCCTAGAGTTTAGTCATGTTCTTACTTTGTGCAATCCCAATGGTTCCTGATTAAGAGGCAACAACCCTTCCAAATGAATGTTGTCATTTGGCTTTCGCCCTTTCTTGTGATCATGGCTGCGTTGACACCCTTAGGATGGTGTACAATCAATACACTGACATTGTCTGTTCTCCTGTTAAAAAGACTGCCAATGTCTATGGCCTTGCTGCACATACGAGTCGAATCCAATGATATTTGACTGACATTCTGTAAGGTCGACTGCAGTTAAGGCTATCAGAATGGTGGTATATTTTCTTATGTCCTAATTTTCATCCATAGGATGGAATGGTTTTCAGAAATAAGATGTTGGCAGACACAAATGGACATCTATTGATGCCTGGTCTATGCTGGCTGACTTGTTTCTATAGTTTCTGTTGTTTCTCCAACATGAATCATAATAATAATGTTTATACGTTTTGCAATTTGTTTGTGTTATATGAAGTTAGAAATACTGCAAAGAAAGTAATCCTGTTCTGTTCACGTTATTCATAGATGTTTGGAATTTAGAAATGGCAGTTTGAGAGTTTTTGCCACACATGAAATTGAAGATGTGTTTCCTCTATTGTTCGTTCTCTAATCGGTTACTGTCTAATGTAGAGTTCCAAAGCAAATTTAGAAAAATCCAATTCATTACTCTTTCGGAACGGTTTATTTTAAACGTTGAGAAAAGTGAATTTATTCCAGTAAATAAGTTACAGCTGTCACATATTACAGTATATTGGTACAGTATTTTCATCGAGATAGCCGGGGCGTTTGCAACTCTCGCTTCAAGTTGAACGGCTGTTTCCAGTTTATAACTTACTGAAAGTCGATCCCTCCCTTCTATTTAAGATAATTGTAAGATTGTGTGAAAGAAAAATAATGGCTGTATTATCATAAGGAGTTTCTGTCTGTAGATGAAGTATATACAAAGTACAAAGTCTACTCTTAAGACGCTTGGATACATGTCAGTGAGGTGAGGTGAGGTGAGGTGAGGTGAGGTGAGGTGAGGTGAGGTGAGGTGAGGTGAGGTGAGGTGAGGTGAGGTGAGGTGAGGTGAGGTGAAATGAAATGGGGTGTAACGTCGTACTGAAGAATATTTCGCTCATATGACGACGTTCATGCGTGTGTATGTGGCTGCTTGTACTAGTCCAGATTTAAGCTGGTTTTATAGTGCCAGCTCACTGGGATACAATGCCGCAGTTAAGCATGAATACCCAACTCAAACACATTATACTGACTCCGAGCCGACCAGTCCTTGTTGAACCCATTAATGCCGAGCGCTAGGCAAGGGATCAACGCAGGCACGTGTCAGAGAAGTACATAAGTACGTGATCTGGACTACCAGTTGTCCTACCTTCATTTTGTGGAAGCCGCGGTGGTTGTGTTGGTTAGTGACTTTGTGTGCTGGAGATTAGGTGCCTTACTGAGAGAGTGGTTCGAATCCCAGGCCGTACTCAACCTAAGACAGATTACTAGATTCTGCACTTTACTGAGAAAGTGTAATCTCCAATTAGCATGCTACATTGCTGGTTGAATATGTCTAAGATTACTCTCCAACTCGTTTAGAGATATGGGTACACAGTCGGTTTGTGTTAAGTGTTTAGTAGTTGTGTCAGTTATTGGTGTAGGCTTCTCTGTATGCAGGGGCGATCTCCAAAACAGTAATTACAAAATACTGTTGACGTCATATGTAATGGGAAAGTATCGGGAATGCGTATGTTATATCAAGCGCTTTTCTTTAGCTTGGAGCGTTGGGGTAGCCTAGTGGTTAAAACCTTCGCTCGTCATGCCGAGGACCCAGGTTCGAATCCTCACCAGGGAAAAATGTGTGAAGCAAAGATTTTGTGTTTATGTGTATCAGTACGTTTTCTCAAAGGAGAAAAATAAAATCCTCCGTTCCAAGACTGGCACAATAGATCGTCGTGAAGAAGTGATTTACGATAATTGTAATTGGTTGTTGAATACAGAAAATTATGCCACGGAATTGCTTAACCGCAGAGATCGCTTGTGCATATTTCTAAAATTCGTTTACATTCACATAAAATAAAGAATATATTTAATACTGACCAGGCTAGCTTTTCTCGAAACGTTCGTAGCCCTCCTAACGAACTGCTTAAGCCCATGCTTAACACATTGGCTACGATAAAAGTTAATAATTCTTAGGGCTACGAACGTTTCGAGAATAAGGGCCCTGCTTTGTATGCTCAAAGTGTAATGTGAACCTTCTAGAAGTACAGTTTTACCTGGTATTAATTTCATCATACTATATATAAGAACGTGAAAGAGCAACTTATCTCAACTTATTTCTGCATCTTTCTGAGAATAATTTCTGCGATTAAAACGATATCACGAACATTCAAAATCTCAGTACTGTTTTTTTAAAAGACACTTGCCGATTTATAGAATAAGTATTAAATAAACATTCTTTGTTAGTGTGCGCCAAAATAAATGTTATAATCATGTGCTCTTTGCCTCGAGGCCTTTTCTCGAAATTAAAGCTTGTTACTGTTACTTGCCTTAACAACTAACATGATTAGAAACCAAGTGAGTGAGTGAGTTAAGTTTTACGCCGCTTTTAGCAATATTCCAGCAATATCACGGCGGGGGACACCAGACATGAGCTTCACATATTGGACACATGTGGGGAATTGAACCCGGGTCTTCGGCGTGACGAGCGAACGCTTTAACCA